AGAGGTTAAATGGACAGACAGATAAATGGGTGTGACCACCCATTCTGCCTTTGTTTCTTGCAAAGAACACATGGATATGACATTATTTAATCTTTTCTTTGGAACATAATAGTTAAGAAAATGTCCTTTTACTTGTTATTTTAAAACATTGGTTATTCCTTTGAAAAAAATCTTTGTTCTCAGTTGATTGTTTTTGGTGTTGAATGTGACTCCGTGGTGCTTTTGTGTATCATGCGAAGTATCCAGCTGTATAATTCAGAAGTACCAATTATTAATTTTGATAAATTTGACCCCAGAAGGTCAGAGTCGTGAAGATATATAACTGAACTGTTTTTGAAAATTTTCATCTGGATTCCATATACAGAATTTAACTTGAACATGGTTTTCACTTATTATCAAATGGATCACTACATAACTCTCTGCAGACATTGTTTGAGAACTTTTTTTAAATGTATCCCTACTTTATCTGTATCATTTTCCTGAAAAAAGTTAAAATGAAACAAATTAACTTTTTCATAGAAATATGTCAGTTCAGAAACATTTAAAAATTAATGCTTAGAAATAAGAATATCTTCCACTATGTTGTTATGTTTAAATCTAATGGGTATAATAATACATTGCTTCAAAATGCTTCATTGGTGGTCACCCTGGAGGGCTGTCATATTGCTGCTACCACCACTACCGTGGTCTTGATCTTGTTTTATTGAACTTCCATTCTGATAGCCCATTTCCCTAAGATCTGTCTTCATACTATTCTTCCAGCTTCTCGTTCTTTCAAATGGCTGCTTTCCAAGTAGCTGATGCACTGAAGTCATATCCTGATAGCAATTGTAGTGGAAGCCATAATCTTCTGTACATATCACTGAACCGTACAATTAAACATTAACTTTTAACACTGCTTATAGCACAGGTTGTATATTTTAGATTGCATCACTCCCTGTTTGCCTGAATGCCTGGATGGTGGTTATTTTGTTCTGTCGTTCTTCATTGTATGGTGTGGGTGTGATCACAAAACTTATTTTTAATAGGGGTTTAGGTGAACAGTTCACAGCATATGTTCGACTTTGGAATCATAATCATATGTGGAAATAAGGTCTTAACCTGCTTTTAAGTAACATTTAGACTAAAGATGGAATAATTGTCCCCCTGCTTCAGAAATTGAACTTTCCAAAAAATGTCTCTCTTGTACTAAGTATGATTCATACATGTGAAAACCAACTTTTCATTTGCGTTATATTATTAATAGCAGTTATATTATTCAACATTATTGTTACCATGTCCACATGTGCTCTGGGGTGTAATGGGTACTGGGAAGGGGGTGAGTATTTATGTTAATTGTGTTAGCTTGGCTAAAACTTTGAAAAATAAAGTCTTCTGTCTTATTTTTGTTGTTCAGTGGTACTCCATATACTGGAACACAGCAGAATCAGTCTGATAAAATGCATTTTAGCCAGTTGTAGCCAGCCAGGCATTGTTAGCCAGCTGGTTGAGGCTTATGCCGTCAGCAAGCACCTGGCTGGCTGGAGCTGACTAACCACATTTTAACTGATCAGTTCTGCTGTATTCAGTGTATGGAATACCACTAAATCATGGAAGTAATACAGAAGACTTTCTATATTAACTAATTAACTACCTAAATGGCTTACCGAACCTGAAGGTCCAACACCGAATTAACCAAAGCCCTCCACCGGACACTGTCCTGGGCCAACAAAATCCAGTTTCCTTCAACTCCTATCTCCCATAGATTCCGCCTGACGTTATCCTCCCATCTACGTCTAGGTCCCACCCATGCGCGCTACATGCCTCGCACATCTCATTCTTCTCGACTTAATCACTCTGACAATACTAGGGGGAGGAGTACAATTTATTTTAAGTTCGTCATTATGTAGTTTTTACAATTCTGACCTCCTGTCTGCTGACAGGATACTTACATGTACAGGTAGCCCTCGATTTGCGCCGGTTCAATTTGCGCTGATTCAGAATAACGCCGATTTTGAAACCAGCAAGTCTAAAAGTGAAAAAAATATATTTTACTATTATTTATAACATTTTACAATGTTTCTCATACTGCTTCTTATACTAAATCGTAATTTTTACATCACTGATTTTGAATAAAAATTATAAATACAGTCATCTCTGCAATTACGTATGTTTCGTTAACGCACATTTGCTCCAATGAGATCGATGAATCGGTAAAAGCTGTTTGTGAAATGCAAACTTTTGCATATGCAAGTTTGCTCTTATGCAATTTCATTCCTGGCGCTTTAAACTTTCAAAGGACTAATTTAATCTGTGCGGAGGTACCCGGGTAATTTTTACTACGCGATTTTCTATAGGTCGGCGTCATACATGAATGCAACTATCGCAGTCAATCGCGGGGACCAACGAATTGCCGATTGTATGTATATAAAATATATTTATTTAAATTCCCTTTATTTTATTTACGTTATTTCAGAGCTTTAAATGTAATGCCATTATATTACCCGTCAATGTTTGGGTGCTGGGAACGCATGTCATTGACCTCCCATTGATTTACATTATAAAAGAGTTTCAGTTTACGCCGGTTCATCCAGGAACACATCCCCGGCGTAAATCGAGGGCTACATGTATTTAGTTTTTTCTGAATTTACTTCTAGCCCCACTTGTCTACTGGGCTCTAGTAAAACTTCTGTGTTCCTCTTTGTTATATTTATATCGTCACCCAATAAGTTAACATCATCAGGATATGCCAACAGCTGATGTGTAGACTTTTTATATTTCGTTTTCCAAAGTGCTAGCCAGTCGAACATGGTTAACATGAATACTCTGTCTGTGGTACCAGGACTTCTTTCCCCAGGATAAATCAATCTGGGAGTGAAGGTGGCCACTCATGTCTGTGGTGAGGTGCTCAGGGCCAGGGACTACTTTATCTTAACCATATTGTACAAGATTTTACCTGCACACTGTCAGATATCAGGCACTCTTAATCTCTTGTGTAAATACAAAATTGTCATAAAAGTAAGCACACTGAATTCCTAGTCACCCTGGAGGTGCTGGCCTCTGTACAACGATTTCAGGTTCAAGACTTGGATATGTCCACTGCCAACATACTTCCTGTTTTTGACAGTGGTGAAACTTTGTGAATGTGGATAGTATCAAATTTGGATTTTAGGTTTTCATGGCAGTGAGTGCAAAGATGGCTGTCATCTGGGTTATAGTGCCATCTAGTCTGGTAGAAGTTTACCATTGTTTCAGAGGCAGATTACATGGTGCTACAACCCAGAAGACATCTTGAAAAATATCAAATTTGGTGTCCACAATAAAATTATGACAGTTAATAAAACTAATAATTTTGAGTTAAAACTTTGAACTGTCACTTAATAAATAAGTAAAATGACTGCCATAAACTAATAGCCCATGCCTTTACCACCATGTAAAATCACAAATGGAGCTATAAATCCTTCAGTCAATACTTTAAGCACTTCAAGGAAAATGTTGATAAAATTCTGTGAAACTTGGTGAAATTCAGCTTAATGTCTATTAAGATTTAACTACTACCTTTCATTGTTTTAATTGGGAGCATGCTCAGGACAAAGATTTTAGTAAATGGTGCATGTTATGTAATATTCGCATGCGTGGTGTGCTGAGTGACTGGTTTATTTTTAATTAAAAATTTTATGATAATTCTTGTTTAAATACATTTTAAACAGCTTTCTTAAATGCTTTTCTTATTCCAGAATAGTTTATCACTTTTCCTGCATTTGAATTTTTGTTTTGGATTCTATTACATTATATATGTATGAAAACGTACATATTTCTAGTTCTTATTTAATTATGTGATAAATACAAAGTCAACGTTAGTAATACATAACTAACAATTAGTAAATGATCAGATATATGTAGTGCAGGTCCAGAAGACATTACAAGATTCATAGAAAGTAGATGTTACCCTCAGTTTCCTTTATGTATGTATGTATGTATGTATGTGATAACTTAGTTGTAGTAATATTTATGTAAGATATTGTTTTGAATACAGTCTTCTCATTCTGTCTCCCACTTCTATACAGGATGATTCAGAAAGGTACTGCACCTCCTTGCTCAGAAAGTGCTTGTGAATAGAAGGTGTTTTTGATACCAATTTAGGAAATTGTCTTACCACTAGATTACATCAGTACCCATGTTAAACTCTCACCTTTGTGGTTATTCATGAACATATGTAGCCAGGTAGATAAACTTTGGAGCACTGTTATGTGTTTCTGTGGTTTGTAGCTTTGTGTATGGGTCTTTGACCGTATTTACTTGTTCTTGCATGGCAAAGTTGAAGGAAAGTGGAATTTTGATTTTGAAGGTGGCTGTCTTCTGGATTCTTGCACTGTGTGCCTCCATTATCAGGTCAACTCATTGCCCTGATGATGGAGGCAGCAAGGATCTCTGAAACGTTAGTAAACTTCTATCAGACCACATGGCGCAACAACCCAGAAGACAGCCATCTTCAGTCTCACCACTGTTAAAACTTCAAATCATACTAATTATGATTTTGTCAGCAGAAGGGACATACAGCGTAATGTTGAATGTGAATTGTGGTGGCCTGGTATACACAAAACTTTGACTTTGTTAGAGGTAAGGGAAAGGGAAGTTTTGCAGAAAAATTTGCACTGGATCCAAATGGTCTCAATCCCAAGACCTTCTACAAAGAAGGCCTGAACCTTATCTCTTAGACCACCAGGTTCTCATTGTAGCACTGAAACTCATCAAAGAGGCTAGATTTAATAAATCATTCCTGAACCTTTTCTATTTGAAATTATTGCAAGATCACAACAATTTATGGACATAGTTTGAATCCCCCTGTATAACTGAATGAGGTGATCTTAACATGACGTGTATGTGATGTGTTCCTTAATGTAAACATGCACAATTTCTGGGTAACAGCAACTTGAATGTGATTTTGTTGGTCAGCTGTTTAAGACATGCAGCATTACAATTATTCTGATTAAGGCCCATGTGTGAATGTGTGTGTGAAGGCGGTGATATCTTCTCACAAAGGTCAAGGGGTGACCTTAGAAGTGTGGGACTGGGACCCAGGCTTTCCCGGCGTACAAAACGACGATTATCTTGGAAGGTAGAGCAAATAGTCCCCTGTTAATACTAATTGGTAATTTGTGTGGTGGCAGTGTTGTCATAACTTGTTTTTTTAAACCTTTATTATGTGTGTTTATAGATTTTATGCTTATAGTCATATTGTATCAAATGTGCTTAATTCCAAAAATGTATTTGTTCATGGTGAATTATAGATGTGCGTTTTATAGGTCTGTTTGCATCCCTGTGGAGCACTAATTAAAATTCTGCTGTTTGCCTGTCTGGCTGTCTATAGAACTTATAAACAGCTAAACGTATTTTCATGAACTGTAATATTTTGGAGTTTTGCAAAAATTTGTCAGATTTCAGTTTTGATTAAAATCATGCAACAATAATGACAGGCATGTTATGTGAAGACTGTAACATGCATTTCTTTGCACCAAAATCACTGGGTTGCCATGGGTACTTGGGTTACCTTCTTTAAAAGTTAACATTTCTGTGAATGACTTAGGATTGTTATATTGTGAGGCCATTTCTTAATTTGTTTCTCTAATTAAGCAATGGCTTACTTATTCAAAAGCTGTAAATTGTAGTCAGTGAAATTGTATCAAAACTATGCAACACTGTTCTTATGCTTTGGAAATCTGTGTTCAGTTCCCCACCTCTCAAAGCCTAATGACAGTTATATAGTCATCTTCATTTGTTCCACATATATTTTAAGAATGTTTTAAAATGGATCACATATATTTCTGATATAATGTCTAATGAAATTGGCTACTGTCGTTTCTTTTACTTCTGTTTGTGTGAAAGTCATTCTTGGTACAGGAACAAATAAAATGAGCCTTATCCCTCCTTAAGATCTGTATATAATAAAAGCTGTAAAAATATGCACAATATGTGTCTTGAAAACAGGAAATTTTTTCGAAATTTTTTTGAAGTAGTATGTTAGTATCGTTCAAAAGTTTCAACTGTTTCTTAAATAATGATTGTTATTTTAGAACCCTTGTGCTTAAATTAAACCTGTAGCAAAATTCGAGTAGGTAAATATGTATCTGAGACATTCTTCATCAAGAACAGCCTAAAACAAGGAGATGCTTTGTCTCCCTTGCAATTGAACGGGACACATCAGCTATTGGCATATGCTGATGATGTTAATTTATTGGGGGGCGCTATGAATACAATAAAGAGGAATGCAGAAGTTTTACTAGAGGCTAGTAGACAGGTGGGGCTAGGAGTAAATTCAGAAAAAACTAAGTACATGTTAGTATCTCGTCATCAGAAGACAGGCGGGCAAAATTATCTTAGGGTAGCTAATAAGTCCTTTGAAAGGGTTACAAAGTTCAAATATC